ATCAATGGTTCCAACGGGCAAAGGGCAAAAGGGCGATTGGGGCCGCAAAGGTACTTGTTTGTAAGTTTGGCGGGTGATATTGAGGTGAGGGAGACGTTGAGGGTGTAACCTGATGCGGCGCCTCAAACTTGGGACGGGCGGGGGCCTGCTAGAACACGGGGAGGCGGCGCGCGCATCTGAAGCCAGGTTTCAATGGTCGCGGGCGAGCGAGATGCCAAATTGGCAGCGATGCTAGGCTGCTATCGGCGCGCGCGCGAATGGGTTAGCTAGGGGGGACTGCAGCTGCGCAGTCGATGTTGTTGATGTGAGTGTGTGTGTGGGACGTGGGAAAGGCACGAGAAACAGTTGCTTGACCAGAAAGAGGGATGAGACTGCAGAGGATTCAGGTCCGGGGCCTCGCCTTTGACGGGTTCGAGACGGCCGGGGCGGGTCGGTGGTTCATTGAGTGAAGCCGAGAGAACCGGGAGAAATGGAGTTTGATGGAACGGAAATGACTCGACGTGCCAGAGAGAAGAAGCGGTGTTTTAGTGACGATTCCCGCCCCGGGCAACGATAGGAATGATCGTGAATGCGCGCCGTTGCCAGCAGCCTGTTTTTGGTGAGACCTGGGCGTCAGGTCAACCCGACGGCTCTAAAGAGAGGTGGGAAGGGCAATAAGCAGTAAAAGTATCAGATAGTAGGGTCCTCGTGCGATTTGTCTGCTTTCGCTGACCGAGACGACCGGCGGTCCCGGCCATGGCTCGTATTGACGCCGCGAACAATGGGAGGATGAAGCCCTCGAGGGATCCCCTCGTACAACTCTGTCATAAGGCAAAGTCCGGATGGGGCCAAGAAACTACGTTTGACTGGATTAGCAGCGGGAAGGACGCAGGGGACCTTCATAAACCGCAATTATTCCAATAAAGCGAAGGAGCACCACCACCCATGCCAATGGGTGCCCTTCATAAGCTGAACAACACGACAACCCGGGCGGCGGGGAGTCGGGACAGAAAACGGGCAATTGCAATAGGTCACTGTCGGGTGTGTTTGAGCGTAGGCGGGATACCAAACAAAACGTGGACGCCCTGCACTCGCACAGGAACAAGCAAAACGAAGGCAATAAAGAAGTTGGGTTGGGGGGTGAGAGGTGGATGCATCACGACTCAGACACGTCTTGGACACAATCAGCAGAGTGGGCAGAATTAAAATAAGCAAAGAGATGAAAGGGGCAGATTTCAGAGGTGAAGATCCAGCCGCCAACAACATGATTGCTGCCGCCGCCGCCTTGGAATTTTCGATGTGTGTCTGTCGTTGCAGTGGCATCTGTCGGAGTTGTAGGATTGCCGCATTCTGGATGATGTGAGGATGGAATAGTACGGAGTACGAAGTAAAGGTTGGGTGAGGTGGTAGGCGTCGTGTCGTTCGCTGCAACGCCTCTAGTGTAACGCTGGCGACTGGATGTGCTGGACTGCACGCTGAGAGGCTGCGGCGGAATTCTTCCAAAATTGGGAGGGGGTGGCCCCCCTGGTTGCCTGTGCAGCGAGATCACCGCTGTGGGGTCGAACTCTGTCGTGTTTTTCAGCGCTTCACTTTTTTCCAGCGGCTCCATTGGGGAAGATTTGGAGCAGCGGACGAAGGATTTGGAGAGTCTTGGGGATGGTCTCGCTTGTTACCGCCGCGCAGCTAAGGTTCGCAGCCGGGCTACGGCAAGGAATGCGGGCATCATGCCTGCTGAATAAACATTGGCCAGGTACACAGATACACGTACCCGACCTCGACTTTGTCAGATCCGCCTATCAGGCTCGTTCAGCTGTCATGGTGGCATGGTCTGTGCATGTCCGCTTGGCGATGGGGGAGTGACGACATTCGACATGGTGTCAGGGGAACAGGGGGGTAAAGAGGCAGGATGCTGCAGCAGGGGGCACTGTGTCTATTGTGGTCGTCTCGCGCCGCCGGTCTCGCGCAGTGGCAGCCCTGGACAATGACAGTGCTCTCTGTGCTTTCGGAGCTCTCTCGTCAGATCATGGTGGCCGACGGCATGGTGTCATGAAGTGTGTGTGTGTGTGTGTGTGTGCGTGTGCTGTAAGGGAAAGGGGGAAACGGACAATAGCGGGAATAGGGAGTGAGGTAGGTACTCTAATAAAGGCGGCTCAATTGACGGAAGGAACAGACGGCGTCTGTCTATCCACTCATGGCTCGCCATTTCAGCGACAGCCAGCGCACTCGGACCTGTCTTCTCGGACCGTCCGCACTCTGCGTTTGATTTCGATGTTCATCGAGACCCTGCACGGCTGACAAGTGCTAAACTGCTTCAGGGCAGCTCGGGATGGATGCGCCGGCCGCGCGGGCGGACTCTTGAGTGGCTGCGCCCGGGATGTCGTGTCGACGTTGGCCGCCCATCTATCTGGCGTCGCCGCGTATTGCTCAATTCCCTGCCCATGCGCCGTAGGGCAGTGAGATGAAGAAAGGGAGTCCAGGTTGCCCGGGCATGGGGATTTGGAGAAGGCGATACGGATAAGGCCAGATAAGGTATGCCGAGTCTTATGTGCTGTTTTATGAACAGAAAAAAAAAAAAAAGATTTCATAGAAGCGGGCAGAAAAAGTCCATCGTAGAGAGGCAGGAGACGAGGACCAGGACCAAATGCTCCCGATAGCAGGGCTCCTGTTCAATGGACGTGTGCGGTGCCATGTCTCGAGAGAGGTCCTGGAGTGGTTATCGTGGCCGCCACCGCCAGTCTTCTGTCGGCTTTTGACGAGTGAGAGTGCACAGTCATCGTGGTGCATAGTCATCGTGGCTGCATAGCACAACACAACACAATCCAGCAACATAGCACAATGCCACCGAGATGCCTCAGTGTTGGATTGGATTGGATTCTCAAGACCCGTAGAGTTGCCCGAACCCGAAGGCAGACGCAGAGAGCTGGGCAGGCGCCAATCCCTCGAGCAATGGGCTAACGCCCTGAGGACTCAGGAAAGAAAAGCCAATGGTGGTCGGGTCGTGTTGCTCTCTCAGTCCTGGTCCTGGTCTTTGGTCTTGGCTTGTTCGTGACCCTGGCCCTGGCCCTGGACAGTCTTGGAAGCACCCCGGTCACGTCAAACCCACTCTTTTCTGCAAGCTCCAACCACCCAATGGCAGCGCCGGTGGTGACTGTGACTGCCCCGTTCTTTTCCCGGGCGTCCATCCACTGCTTCCACGTCCTTGCCGTTTTGCGCTTGCCTCCCAGTCCACGTCCCAATCTCCAGTCACGGTGAATCAGTGAGGTAGGTGTTCGGTCGTTTCCTTTCCCATGCTGCTAGCGTCGACTTTCGCACCAGCCGTCATTTCCATCCACAGCATCCGTCTGCCCTGCCCTGCTTCTGCTTGCCTGCCTTGCGTACTCGTAGGTGCTAACCTGGAATCGAATCGTTGACTGAGGTGAGGTGAGGTGCAGCTGCGACCCGGCTTCTGCCTTTTTACCTGTAACTTCCCTCTGCCGCTCCACCTCTGCTGCTCTGCTCTGCTCTTTCGATTCTGGGAACGTTTTCTTCCTCTCGCCTCTCGTTCCCTTCTCCCCTGCCTTCTTCCGCCTTTCAACCAAGCTCCATTCGTTTCTTCGGCTTTTTTCTTCCATTCCTGCCCCCCGAGCACCTCTAAATTTTTACCTTTCGACCTTGGCTAGTCTGTCCAGCACCCCCTGGTCACCGTAGAGGGAAAAACACAGAGAACACACAGAGAGGAAGGAGGGAAATACCCAACACCACCACACAATCGCTTTGCTGCAGCAGCCAGCATTCGTCTCTCGCTTCCCTGTCCTTGCCTGCTTGCTTGCTCGCTTGCTCGGGGTCTTACTCTGCTGCTGCTTCTACAATCTACATTGCCTACACCCGCTGCCGGCGCCGCTCTTCTGCTACCTTTCCTGTGGCTGCAGTCTGCAGATACCATCCGCAGTAGCTAGCTAGATACCTTCCAGGTTACTCCACGGATACCGGATCTCAGTTGCGTCGCTGCTGCTGCTGCTCGGCACCAACCACTTCGCTCGCTTGCCTTCCTTGCCTGCCTCTTTCGCTTCCCTCCTCTTGGCTCCTGCTTCTTTTCTTCCCAGGACTGCCTGACCATCGACACCTCTAACCTTTCTTTACCTCACCTCACTCCTCCCTTCTCACCACCCAACCGAACCGGCACCTGATCCCAAGGACGCCTGGTAACCCACGACGGCATCATCCTGCCCAGCCTGTCCGACCTTGTGTGCCCTTCTTCCACCCCCAGGCGCCAGGTTACTCCCTCGACGACACGCACACCCGGCACTTTCACCAAGAAGGAGCGCCATAATATACCTCGACCACGCTTCGTCTGCTTGCGCACCCGGCGGTCTTGCCTTGTCTCAAAGGTCCCCAATTCTTATTCCTAATCCACGCGCTAGTTGTCTCTAGGGGCAATCATCCAGTCGCTTGGTCGGTGCTTGGCTTGCTTCTGCTAGTATCATTCCGCGCCTTCACCTTGATTTCGCCCACTTTCATCATTTCTGCCCTCCGTCCACACTTGGCGCCAACAAATCTTGTACGAACGCCACGGCCCGGTCGACTTCCCTTCCTGCCCTTCTCCCAGAACCCTCCGCTCAACCGGCCACATCCTCGCTCGAGCAGGTACGCACTGGAGGCTCTTATCGCTTGCTCGTAAAGAAGACCATCTTCCCTTCGACATCCTCGCCAGTTCGACCAGTCGAGACGTCTTCGTTGCCGTCTTCGCCACAGCGTCGACTCCCGTGCGGTTTCCCGACTGCCCTGCGTGGTCGTGTAGGACAAGCAACGGATCACACCTTGGAAGTGGGATTTTAACCTTTCCTCCCGCTGCCCACCGACCGATCCAGACGTCAGATGTCAGCTTTGTGAGGCCTTGACTCCGGGAATTGTGAGTCCTAAATCTCCCCCAGTCATGGGTTCCGAGCCTATGCCGGAACCTAAATCATTCTTTCCCCTCAGTTGCGAACCCCGACGCTGACTGCTACTTTCTTTTCAGACTTGCCCATCGCAAAATAGAAAAAATGGCATTCACCGATCGATTCACGAGATGCTGGGCAATCTTTGCCCTCATCATCCTGTCATGGCCTGCGCTGGCCCACGCCACGCCCGACCCTAGAATGCTCGATTCCAGGATGTTGGAACCAAGACAGCTGAAGCAGACGCTCTGCTCAAGCTCGAACACGGCATCAATGAGCGCAAGTACGTCTAAGACCTCCCCAAAGGCAATGCGGCGGTTCAATGGCTCGGCATCGACGTCGTACTCCCTGCCAGCCGATACGAGCCTTCGTATGAATTATATTTGAAAACCCAATACTAACATGGGGCCACAGATCTCAGTATATGGCAGACTAACGGTCTCTGTTCCGACTTTTGCAGAGGCAAGAACTTTGCCCTCGCTATTGTCCAGTACCAGTCATGCTGGTGCTCCGACGTCGCCCCGGCCGCGTCCTCCGAAGCCGATGTCGAAGACAAGTGCAACGACATTTGCCCCGGCTACGACACCGAGAAGTGCGGTTCACGGCCGAACTGGTACGGGTATATTCAGTTGGCAAAGACCCCTACTAGCACCGCAGGCGGCGATGCCGCCACGACCTCCGCTGCAGCGGCGTCAACAACACAAGTTAGTATCCCCCCCTTCCGACACTTCGTGAAGCATATGCATGATTTCTTGCGTGATTTTCTTGGCCGATGAATTTCGTCACCTCACCAACCCATGTGATGCCCTGGCTTAATCGTCTGGAACCAGGCCCCTCCGGCCCCTGTCCCAACAACCGTTCAAGTCACAGTAACTGAGACTGAGACACCTCAGAAAACGACAACCTCCGACCCAACAACGTCGACGACCTCGTCAACCACTTCAGTACGCCTCAGCAACCCCCATCAACACGCCGTAAATCGATTGTCAATTTCGTAGATGGCAATGTGCGTTTCTCGAGAGTTGATGCTGACTTGTGTGCTAGACAACGACATCGAGGAAGCCTCAGACGTCTGTTCAGACCGTCACCGCCGATGGAACCGTTAGGACTGTTACTGTCACTCCTACGGCTACGGGAACCGATGGCGCGACTGGGGCCTCAGAGCTGTCCCCCTCGAGCTCGGCATCGTCATCGAATGGACTGAGCACCGGTGCAGTCGTTGGAGTGGTAGTGGGAGTTATTGCCGCCGTGGTAGCATTCGCAGGACTGGGCCTCTTCCTGTTCTTCCGACGACGCAAGCAACACCAGGAGAACTCAAAGTACGACGAGCCCAGCCACCGTGGCAGCTCAGCCGGTATGACTGGCTCACCGCGTAACCCCGAAATGGTCGTGACAGTTGATGGTGGACGATGGGACGCCGACTCGACCAGCGACCACCGCCGCAGTCGCCTCATGGCACACGATCCTCGCATGGAACCCCTCGGAAGGGGCCTGTACCTGAACAACAAGAGCGCCGAGAGCATCAACACATTGCGCGACGACCAAGATTATTCCCGCAAGGTTCATAAACCAGTCTTGCGGGCGACCAACCCCGATCCTGAATGAGGGGATGGGGACATCGGGCGGATCCGGATGACAACACATCATCATTAACGACGCACACGATTTCGGCCCCATTACAAATTTTCGGTCTTTGCATTGCGCTTTTGAGATACCAGGGCGGCGTTTCGTTTTCATTTCACAGAACAGAATAGGGAAGGGCATTGGATGAGGCGCCCTCGCTGCAACACCGGGCACGGGAGGGCCCTCGGGAGAAAGTCAGCGACACCTGCAGCAACACGGTACGGGCATCAGACCACTGAGTCACGGACACGAACGCACATCATCACATGGGCAACACGAGGGCCACCGGTTGATGGTTGGCATAATTTAGATTCGTTTTCACCCCCTTGGATTTGCGGTTTTCGGCAACATGACGGGAGTGCAAGATAAAAAGCAAGGAGACGAAGAATAGTACTATAATCTGCACTGAGTGGTCGCAGAAGACGGGACTTGCCATCGGTATGAGATTTGGCCATAGGTCCACTGGCATAATGATGGACGGCATCTGTACATACACGAGCGAAACGTGGACTGGACGCCAGTCAGCCACGAGCGGCTGGGTGGGAGAGATTGGTTACAGACGGTAACAATTGACACCATTACGCGTTCACAGGACACAGTTCATGGGTGACGGTGCTCAGAAGACACGTAGTAGGCCATTGACAATGCGGGGAGGGTCGCACGGCGGTTGTCGAGCTGAGCTGCCGTGGGCACTGGTCGTGTAGCCACGAGGGTCTCGGCCAAGGGCAACGTGCAAACGGCGTCCTCTCCATGATCGTCATGAGCACCGGCAAGCGCACGAGGAAAAGTTGTATTCACTTCTAGTCGCGAGGATCATAATAACACAATAGACACGTAAATGATGTTTCAAGAGATTCGGTGTCCTAACGTGTGCAACAGACGTGACGTGATGTTCGGATCTGTCCTGATGGCCGCCGTTGTCTCGGAATCATGGCCTCGATTCCTTCCTGGTTCGGGCCGGAGCCGTTTTGGGGGTGTCAAGCCCGTTTGCCCCAGGAAGGGATGAATGGATGAATGGGGGGACTTTGCGCCGCCGCCCCCCTTGCGCCGGTGCGGTCCCGGGCGGCTCACGGACGCCGGTGTGCGTATTCGATACGGCGGACGGGATGATCCCCTTGCCGGCGTTGTGAAAGGCTTTGCGGCCTGTGAATGATATGATCTGACGACATGGCTTACCCGACCCACCGAAATGCAATGCGCGCAGTAACAGCTCCATCCTTCGCGTAGGGTGTGGTGTCGTGTGCACTGATTTTGATGTTCATGGAGGGTCGGGGCCGGTGCGGGTAGCGAGTTCCTGCCGATCGCCATTTGCAAAAAGTTTGCGTGCGTGCGTGTGCAAGTGTGAGTGAGTGAGTGAGTGTCAAGAGCTGATGTCATTTTCGTAATTTTTTATTTGAGTTGGGTGTGTTATGGACATGGATCATGGCCCATTTTGCGCAGCTGGAGAAAAGCTTGGCTTTTAAGATGAGTGTTTTGAAACGTTGAAACGGACGGGAAGGGAAAGGATGAGCTGTGATCTGATTGTGTTGGTGGACTGGGGATTGGGATACGGGTTGCGTGTGGGATGGGATTTAGGGGTCCTTTGGACGATTGTAACTGGTGAATGTCGCATTTTCACTGTTCTCACGTTGCGTTTGCAGTCTTAGTCACCTTGTGATATCACTCAAGAGGATGGCAAGATGTTGCCGCCCTCGGGCGATCGCTGTCAGCCGCATCGTCGAAGCGCGTTCAGGGGTTTTCACGAGGGAAGAGGTTGGAGATCGCGACGAGGCTTTGGGCTAAGGACCGATTCTGTCTCGATGACGCGACGCGGAAACGAGTTTAAATCCAGTGGTTTTTGCAGATTTTGCGGCTGGGAAATTTGGAGGCGTTTGTAAGTAGCTTCGTCGTTCCGTGGGGAAAAGGGGGATGCCGCGAGCTAACGGAACGTCCGTCTGTTGTCGGCGTGCTGCCGCCAAGGGGGTTCGGCACCGCACCTGTGTTTGGTTCTTTACGTTGAGGTCAAAGTCAAAGTCCTCTGCCCTGTAGAGTGCTGCTGTCGTTGACCAGTCTGAACATCTGCCCTGATAAAACAGTGTTCAACGGCGGCGATGCTTCGAGTGCGGATTGATAACGGCCGAGATAAGAGCAAGATTTGACGCGGAACACAGGAAGGGAGAGAGAGACACGGGAGCGAGGGCCAGAGGAAAGTCGCATGTTTCGAAACAGAGTTGGGGCTGTGGGAGATTTGATGCTTGGGGCAGATATTTGGTAGGGTCCTGAGTGTAATTTCAGACGACGGTTGTACGGTGGATGTTGCGAATGAAAGATGTTTGGGGGTTGTTGAAAAGTATTCCAAGGGATGATGTCTCTTGTGAAAGAATGATGCACGTTTGGGGGAGATGGCGATGTTGGTTTGACTCGTAGTTCCGCATGTCAGGATCCACGCTCTCTCGTATTGTTATACGGGCGGGTTGGGATTGTCGCTCACTGCCTTGGTCGGGGGCTGCGTGTACGAATACGCCGCATGGTGGCTGCCTTTGGGTCGCCCACTGTGGCTGAGGGCTGGGAATAGCTTCAGCTAATGTTTTTTTGGAGCTCAGCGCGGCGGAAAGTGGGCGGGTGTTGTGGCGCCGGGACTTGGGCGGGCGATGCTTGGCATCATATTTCGGATGCATTGAGTTTTTTTAGTCTCCGGTGTAAGTAACCCGTCCACCAAGTCGCGATGGGAGTGTTTGCAGCGGCTGGCTTCTGAATTGAAAAGGACGTGCTTTTTTTTTTTTTTTTTTTTTTTTTTTTTGNGTGTTTTTTTTTTTTTTTTTTTTTTTTTACATTGCGATTACGTATGTGACGTCGTCGTCGTTGTCGTTGTTGTCGTCGGGCGTCGCTCGCCTGCCAAAATGTCAAACGCCCGTAGTGTTCGTCTCATCAACAGTTTTCTCGCGTTTGATCACCCTCCTTCGTCCGAGTTTGCGAGGTGTCGTGCAACGACAGGGACTTCAGGAGGTCCCGGCTTCGGCGGCGTGGTGGTCGTGGTCGGCGGGAGGAATGAGAGAAGAGACCCTGCATAAGGCGAGGTCTGAGATTCGTCCGGGGAATTTTTCTTGGTACGGACACTTGGTATGACTTGGTTTCCGTTTGGATCTGTTTTGTTATTCGTTCTCCGTGTGAGAAGTGTGTGTGCGTCTTCTCAATGGACGTCTTCATTAAACCCGGGTGCTGGCCGCGACGGCCGCGCGGGAAGGTGAGGGAGGGAGCCATGTTTCCTGTCCCGTGGGCCCCTCCCCTTGCCCGCTGCCCCCCTCCCTGGTTCCGAATTGCCAGGGCCTTATTTGGAAATCAAATAAGATGCCCCGTAAGTGTACGCGTTCCCGTAAGTATGCGACGGACGATGTGGTGCGCGGTGCTGCTTGGTGCGATCCATGGCTGGCAGAGCCTCTCTCTGGCACTCTCTCTGTCTGTCCGTGACCTGCGCGGTTCGCGATGGTGTCTGTGAGGTGAGCGAGGTCAGCACTAAAGTGCGTCATACCAGATGCTAGGCCACTTCGTGGTTAATGCGATGGGTGAGAAGTTGGGACGGTTTGGAAGAAATCGGCAGCATGATGCAAAGGGCGAATGGCGTCTGGCCATTCACATGGAAGGAGAACCCCTGAAGGAGGGTGCTGTGCTGGCCTGGAGGCGGAAGGGAGGTCGCTGCTGAATGGACGGTGCCTTCGTCAGCGGCCCTGTAATCTTAGCGCGCCGCCTTAGCGACCCTTGGCACAGCCACTCGACAAACGGGGGGCTGCAGCGAGACGCAGCGCAACAGCAGGAGCAGCACCAGCACCGGCCCAGCAGTGGAGGGGAGGAGCAGGAAAGAGGCATCATCTCACACTGGACTGGACTGGACTGGACTGCCATTTGCTGACCCCGGATCCTGCTCCTGGCTTCGCTTCCCACCTTGCCTTTGCCTACCACTACCTACCTACCTTACCGCACATCCAATCCCGGTGGCTCATACCGTTGCTCATTCGTGTCTCGCCTCTCTCTCAAGTCTCCATTCCCCTCCGCTTTCGCATCCTTCCTTCCTCTTGTTTTTTTTTTCCTTTCCCTCCTCTTCCCAAATCATTCTCTTGGCTGTCTGCTTCACGACAGCCTCTGTTCTCGGGTGCGTCTTCTGTTTCATTCTTCGACCTCAGGGGGAACCACCTTCGACCATCCCCCTTTCTTCCAGTACTCTTTTATTTTGGTCTCTTGTTGCGGCATTGGGAACGAACACGGAACAAATACGACGAGGGCAGCAGCTGCAGCACGGAAAACGATAAGATACTCGAACGACGATTGTAATTGCGCACGCGCGACGGCCGGTAATTTTTTGTGGAATCTTGCAAGAGGAGGATCGACCTGCGACATTGTTGGGACCTGGCGACCTCACACGACACCCGACCACACACCACGCTCCAACCGAACTGCGACTCGCGACTCGAGAGCCGGAATCCTGGGCAAAGAGAGGGAGGGCGTTGCATTGCAGTGCGTCAGGCAATCAAAAGAGGAGGAAATAACCTCACTGGACCCTTACTTTTTTCTTTTTGATCCTTTTCCACGTCGTCTCGCCCGGCCGTGCTCGCGAGAAGGAACACCCTCCGCACCACCACCGAGCAGCCACGAGCGACAAGCTCCGCCAAGACCTGGGCATCCGCTCTGGTACCTGCAGCCGACGAGTCTTGGCACTCACAAACCCAACCCACGCAACGTCACCGTCTACACCGAATATCACTTCCTCGATCCCGCGACACCTCTTTCCCGCTGTCTCGCGCCTGGCCCAACGTTCTGCAGCACCCAACGGCCGCCACCCCTTCGTGGGCGCTGAACCGTCGATATGAATTTGACGTGTAATTCCACCCTCGAGGACATGAGGAGTACGTCATCCAGCTAACCCGCAACTCCTCCCTTCTCCCCCGGCCGCCCGAATGAAGCTAACAAATGTCTCTCCCGTGCTCCAGTCCTCCCCGGCTCCGAGATCCTCATCGCCGGCCCGTTGACCTTCCACGACCTCGCCCTCGTCATCGCCGGCTCCTGTACCATCATCGCCATCAGTCTGTCTCTCTACCTAGTGTTTATGCACGCGAACAACTACACGAAACCACGAGAGCAGCGTCAGATCATCCGAATCCTGTTTATGGTCCCCGTCTACGCTGCCTCATCCTTCCTCCAACTATACTACTACTGGCATGCCGTCTACTTCCAGGTCATGAGCGACTGCTATGAAGCATTCGCCATTGCTTCCTTCTTCTCCCTCATGTGCCACTACCTGGCCCCGGATTTACACACGCAGAAGGAATACTTCCGCAACCTGCACCCCATCAAGCCCTGGGTCTGGCCCCTGAACTGGTTCGCCAAGTGCTGTGGTGGTGACAGAGGACCCTGGCGCACGCCCAAGAGCGGTTTGACTTGGTTTAACATCAACTGGATCGGTATCTATCACTATGTCTTTATCCGTGTTGCCATGACCGTCACCGCGGTCGTCTCTCAATACTTCCACAGATACTGCGAGAGCTCCAACAACCCGGTCTTTGCTCACATCTGGGTATGTCTCCCTGCTTGCGCACATTGAGGATCTCCACTAACAGACGCAGGTCATCTCAATCAACTGCGTGGCCGTGACCATTGCCATGTACTGCGTCATCCAGTTCTATGTCCAGATGCGCGAAGCTCTCTCACCTCACTCACCCTTCCTCAAAGTCCTGGCAATCAAGCTCGTCGTCTTCTTCTCCTTCTGGCAGGTTACCTGCATTTCCGTCGCCACATCTACTCTCGACCTCGTCCACCCGAACGAAGTTCTCGCTTATCCCGACATTAAGGTCGGCATTCCCGCCTTACTACTATGCTTCGAGATGGCTCTCTTCGCCCTCCTGCATCTCTGGGCCTTCCCGTGGAGACCGTACGCTCCCGGTGCGAAACCCACCTTCTATCCTACGCCCGACTCCCGAGACCCCAACGCTCACCCGCGCGAGAATGAGCATGGACCTCCATCCGGAGGCTGGCTTGGTTTTGGCGCCATTGGAAATGCGCTCAACCTCTGGGACTTTGTCAAGGCCTTCGGTCGAGGCATGCGCTGGCTCCTCTGCGGTGTCAAGCGTCGCAAGGAGGACCCTAGCTACAAGACGGCCGCCAGCTTGGATATGGATGATCTCGACAAGGGCGACACCTCTTACGCCCGCCCCGGAGCGAAGAGTACCGACCATCTTCCCATTGCAACTGAATTCCGCCGCAGCACCTACCTGCAGCCTTCGAGGCCGCCGCCACGTCCCGCCCGCGCCGACAACGAAAGCGACAGCCTTATCGCGCACGCTCAGCCTCACGCTTCCGAGATGTCGCCGCCGCAACGCCCAGCAAGACCTGTATCACCAATGTCCCCCATCTCGCCTTACCAAGATAAGAGTTACGAGGCGGCCGGCATGGTGCCCGCCTATCACCCACCACGCGAGGCATACCACCCGCAACGCGATGCCGACGCCGAGTGGGAAAGGACAGCTTTGGCGCCGAGCCCCGGAATGCCACCTAATGCCGTGGCTCCAAGTCCCACTGCCACTGGGCCTCGGGACCTGACGCAACAGCGAATTGGGGAGGCACTGTGGGGAGCGCGTAGCCCTGTGCCTGAAAGCCCTGTCTTGCCGCACACAGATCAAATGCCGACTGTGCAGAGGAACGGACAGCAGGGATATAACCAGGGATATAACCACAATGCTGGACCCGGGCAGGCTTTCTAAGCCGGGGTCGTGAATTATAACTCGTGGCGTGACCCATTCTTACATATGCTTGGGATATATCGCGACGAGGGGCTCTTGTATCATAGAGACGGATGGGTTTGACCTTTTTGCATGCATGGGTTGGCGTTACTTTTACGAGATACCACATCATTTAGCTGATTGGGAACGAGACTACAATTTCATGAAGTTTATCAACTTGAATTCCGTGTCCCAGTTACTGATGACCTGATCGTGAATGAGAGTATGGCATTAACGCATTGCTTTCACACCCAATTGTTACCAAAGAGCACCTTGAATCGCACAGCCAATAGGCAAAGGGATAGGCCGAGACACAACCCCGTCCGACGGGAGCACGTCCGCGTGGGTGTCCGATCCTCCGCCCGATTCCCGTTACTGGACCCACTCTTTTCGCGGCTTGTGCGACATCAATCGACTCACTTGACGGCCCTTGACAATTTTGCGGAAACGTCGAAAATGGCAAGAGTGAACAACGAGCTCCTTGCGTACACCACAGCGATCAATTTTGGAGGATCTTCAAGGTTTCAATACCTCCTTAATACAACAAAGAAGAAAACGACCAGTCATCTAGTGAATTTCTCACAAAAGCCCCACCCCCACTCGAACGATTTTGCCCATCATCAAAATCAGACGACGGGACGGGAACGGATCAACCCTGCGGTCTTTTCCACGCCAACCGTAACATTGCCGCAAGTTTAAGTAAAGAAACAGTTTCCCACACGCGCACGCCAATGGAAGAACTCCCCATCGAGCCCCGCGGCCTCTTCTGGCAAGACGACTTCATCACGCCGGAGCACGAGGCGCGGCTCATCGACATCTTCCGGCACGAGCTCGAATGGCCGACGGACCGCGGCGCGGGGCGGCTGTCGCTGCACTACGGGTACACGTTCGACTACAAGACGTTCGGCGTGGACCCGGCGGTGCCGTTCCGCGCGTTCCCGGAGTGGCTGCGGCCGCTGATCCCGACGCGCGAGGGGCGCGACCCGGACCAGGTGTGTCTGCAGCACTACCCGCCGGGCGCGGGGATCCCGCCGCACGTGGACACGCATAGCGCGTACGACCAGCTGTATGCGCTGAGCTTGGGGAGCGGGGTTGTGATGCAGTTCTCGAGGGTGAGGGCGAAGAAGAAGACGGCGGAGGGAGGTGAGGGTGAGGATGGGGGAGAGGGAGAGGAGAAGGAGACTGTGGAGGTTGATTTGACGCCGCGGAGCATGTTGCAGATGTCGGGGGACTCGAGGCTGCACTGGACGCATGGGATCCGGAAGAGGAAGACGGACACGTTGAAGGATGGCACGGTGAGGAGGCGGGCGGACCGGTGGAGTATCACGTACCGCTGGGTGAGGGAGCCGGCTGTGTGCGAGTGCGGGGATGTGAGGTTGTGCGATACGGCGCAGAGGAGGGCGGGGATTGAGAGGGAGTATCGGTGGAAGAAGGGGGATGCAGACGGGGAGAAGAAGGGCGAGGATGGGGTGAAGGATGGGTGAGGTTATGGGGAGGGCCTTGGACTTAAAACGAGGGAGGGCGGTTCGATTACAGACATGAGATACCCGCTCGCGAGCGCCGGAAAAAGAAGAGGTGACATGTTTTGTATGATACGAGGTGTGGAGTGAAGGGGCTTTCAGGGCGACAAGACGGATTAGTTTGCTCTCAGAGACCCCTCTTCGACTCATTCGATACGGTACATGATAGATACGCAAGGTTTAGGTAAGAGCTCGCATGTGCAAAGACTTCGGAAATCTTTGGCACAACAAAACGATCCGCGACCTCGACTGCCATCCTACTATTTGCAGCTCACAGCGAAGCAAGCGACATTCCGACCATGTTCAATTTCAACCTCTGGAGCAATCCAAGCCCGGGGTTCATCTACCTGCTCCCGTCTCCTCCCTCAAACTACCCGTCGCGGTGGGATGATGTATCATCCGTCACCGTAAAAACGATCGTATAAACACAGAAGCGAGCGAATAGAACCAAGCCCCTTATTTCAAAAGCAAAATCCAAATAGCCGTCTCCCATCCATTTCCGAAGCATGTATCGCTTTCTCGTTAAAATACAAGCAAAACCCGCCGCCCTCCATTTCACAATACCCAGAAACCCCCAACGCGCGCCGTCGACCCATGATGACCCATGTACACGTATCGTCTCTTCTCGTTCTCCAAACAGGAAGAATTGTTGGAGACAGCACATCTCCCGGCAGAAGAAACACAAACGCCAGCGCAGAAATGTGGTGAAGATACAAGGAACCAAACCGAGAGAGCTCGGGAACGACATGACCCATCAGCGAAGCGATGGACTGCTCTCCCGGCTCTTCGTCTCGAAATTCTCCACCATCTCCAGCACCCTCGTCTTCGGCCTCGCGACACTGACGACCTCCGCCGTCCTCAGCGTCAGGCTAGGCCTCGGCTCAGACTCTTCTCTGACCCTCAACCCGCCGTCGCCGCCGTCGTCCTCTTTGGGCGGCGGTAGATGCACCAACCTCCTGCCCCTCGTCGGCGACAATGATACGCCACCGGGTGACTCTGGTCTGCTAAACGCCATTGTGATGTCCTCCTCCGCAACCTCCTTGCCCTTGCCCTTATCTCTGTAGTCTACCACCAATCCCGCCTTCTCTGGGTCGTGCACTAGTCTGTCTAGTTCGTCCAGCTCGTCTCTATCCGGGTCAACAAGCACCGCCTCCTCCTCCTTCTCGACCTCCGCATTGACGACACGTAACCTCTCCTTCGGCACCGTGAACATGACCTGGACAAGCCTCTGCTCAATGGCCTTCTCAATGTCCCACTCGTCGAGGGACTTCTGGTCAACATCCCAGTCATGCCTGCCCTGCTTCCTCCTCAGCAGCTCGGCGCCCCCGATGCCAGACAAACCCACCAGACGCGGCTCGTAGTCCGAGCTGACCTGGTCAAGCGACAGCCGCCTCGGCAGATCATCCTCCTTGCTCGAGTCCGACGACTCGTTCGGGTTCCCGCTAAACACCCTCCTCAAACTGCCCAGCCACCCCAGCGACCGCCGCGGCTTGTGCTTGCTCGGGCTGCTCGGGATGTGTATGTAGTCCTCCTCCTCGTCGTCGGGCGACTCGTGCAGCGGCTTCTGCCCGCGGTGCAGCAGCGAGGGCCCCTCCGCCTGCAGCGCGTTGAACGTCGTCTTGGCCGTCGAGTACGTGTGCCCGCTGCTGCTCGACGAGCTCGACGTGCCCACCCGGCCGTCCGTGATGATGGTCAGGTTCAGGTTGTTCGGGCCGGCGCTGTTGCGCTTGGCGGAGGCGCTGCGCGTCGGCAGGCTGATGGCGCTCCGCGCCGACTCGGACACGTTGCTGGCGGTGCGCTCGTCGTCGGCCATGCTGGCCCGCGACCGCATCGACGCGCGCCGCGTGGGCGAGGAGCGTTTTCCTGTGTTGCGCCGCGCGGGCATCTGCGCGAGCAGCGCCTCTGCGGCGTCCACATCGGACTGCCAGTCTTGTACCTCCGGGTCGCGACGCATGAGCGCTTCGGGGCTGGGGGTCATGGAGTTGCGGTTCCCTGGGACGAGGACCGGCACGGAACCTGAACCTGTGGGTGTGGTGAAAGGATCCGCGTAGGCTGGTGTTGTGGGCGTTACGGGCTCCTGGTTGCGTTGTCTGGCCTTGGCGTTGTCCGGGTCGTCTTCGTCTGCTTCGTAGATGGGGTGGATATGGCCTGGCGTCGTCAGGGTGCCGGCGGGTTGGTACGAGCCCCTGGCGGCTCGCGGGATGGGTTTGCGGGGGATGAGGAGGCCGGGTGGTTGCTGATAGGTGCCGTAGCTTCCTTGGTTGGGAGTTCTCAGGGACTCGTATCCCTGTGTTCTGGCGCCGTCGTCGTAGGGATCGTGGCCTCCTGTGTACCAGGCGTGATTTGTCCAGGGGAAAGCAGACGCATCATGCCGCTCCAACATGTCGTCTTCCGGGTGCAGGAAGTGGGAGGCATCCTGAGCCAGCGAGCGCACCGCCTCGTCTCTGGCCAGCTTCTTCTTCCTCAGATGCCTCTTGTAGCAGAAGTAGACGAGGAAAGCACCGAGAACAGCGGCGAGCCCCACTCCCAAGCCGACTCCGAGACCAATCTTCTTGATATTGTCATCAGAGGCGCCGCTGGAGCCTGATGTTGTGCCGTGGTTCGGGTTCGAGTAACTCGTCGTCCACGACATCGACGTCATGTTCAGAAACCGCAGCCCACTTCCACTCGATTGCCTCTTCGTTTTGGACCCCGAGCTCGAGATTTCGTACCCCCCGTAGACCATCATCACGTTCCCGGGCAAGATCGCCGCGCCGTGTCCGAAGATGCCGTCGCTGGGCTGCTGCGTTGGAATCTCCCACGTCCAATCTCCATACGTATCCCCCATCTGCAACACCGCCAGCTGCGGCGAGGCAGCCTGCGATACACTTCCCACCCATCCTCCCATTACAATAAGCGCTGTGCCGTCCTCGTTCAGCACAGCAGTATGCCCAGACCGGCTCTCCACCTCCGCGTTCCTCCTCACCACCCCCTTAACGGCAAGCTCGCTGCTGCCCGTCCTCACAGCCCCCACAGTCGCAAAGTTCCATGACTCCTCCGGCAGGTTCCAGATCGCGGCCGAGCTCATGTTGATGAACGCCTGCTGCGTGTGTCCGCCGAGCAGCACGTACCGATTCTGCTGCGTCACGACTCCGGACCGGTTCGAGATGGACGGGCTCAGCGCCGTAAACGAGAACCCAGCCTCTGGGAACGCGGGACCCTTGCCGGAGATGAAGCTCGCCGCGTACGCCCCTGATGAGCTGCTGCTGTCCGACGGCGCAACCCGCAGCATCGCCTTCGTGTACGTCCCGTTCTCCTGCCACGTGGACTCATCTGTCGTCGGGCTCAGACACATGCCGCCGAACGAGTACAGTACCGGCTGCGACATCGTCGGCGCCAGCGTCGCCGAAAAACTGATCCCCGCGCCGAGGGCGTACGGGCCGGCGTCCGAGTCGGCAGAGCTCGGCAGCGATGCGGCGGTCTTGGACCACGAGCCGGCGGTGTAGCTCCACACGTCGTAGCCGTCGTACGCCGCGCAGTCCCCCGCCTGCACCACGATCGTCCCGTTGTCGGCCATCGCAGGCAGGAAGGCCGTCGTCTTGCTCGCGCCGTCGAGGAAGGGCAGGCTGCCCGATATCGTCTGCAGGCTGGAGGCCCCATCGACTGTCGAGGAGACGTTTAACGATAAGAGCTCGACGCTACTGCTGCTGCTGCCTTGGTGGAAGATGTATGCGAGGCCGTTGCTGCTGGCGTTGGCCGGTACGCCGGGCTGCGTGGGGGAGAGCAGGATTATCGTCGGGACGTAGGGGAACGTCTGCTGCGCCGTCACGGCGGAGGACAGCAGCAGCGCGGCGAGGGTGGTCCTCCGGGCGTCGAGGGCCCGTAGGCCATTTGCTGTCGTCGTTGTCGGTGACACCATCGTGTGATGTGTATTCGTTTTGTCGCGGCCGCGAACCGTGGTCCCGTTTTTGAGTTGTTCGTATCCGCCGACCGCTATGCGGCAGCACCGTTCATGATCTTCCTCCCCCGATCCTTGCGCCAGTCGTCGATCGTAGTTGCAAATCACAGGTATTTCGTATGCCCTCTCTCACTTTCTCTGCAATGGGTGAGGTCACAGATCTAGAACGCCGTTTCGTCGTTCAACGAGCAAGCATTCTTTTTCCTCTGGTCGTCTCCCGTTCGCTTCCCCCTTCGTCTAGGATCGGCTTCAGCTGGGCTGCGAAAATGGGCCTCGAAAAATGCTGCGTCGGACAAGAAGAGAAAGGATGGGAAAGAGAAGAAAGCACGGGGCACGCAGCAATGCGGGAAAGAGGAGGCCAGTACACCTATGGTGGGCAATCAAGTATGGAGAAAGAGGATCCTCACCACAAGACCCCGGGCGAACGTTTTGCGTGTGTCGATGGATTAATCTGGATGACGGGACGCTTGCTGGGATGCAAATCGAGGGGTTGGGGGTTGGGGCGGCGGTGGTGTCTGCGGCCTGCGGCTTCGCGGACAGGATGTGGGATGTCAACAAATCGAATGGTCTGGATGACAGGGGTGATGGGCAAGCTACCAAGCCGGTGTACGTACGCAGTAGCGCGTGAGGGAATAAGAAACCAAGCAGACACAGGTCTTGAAGAAGGGAGGGAAAAAGAATTGCGGCGTAAGTCTGCCGAGCTACTACTCCGTTCCTCGCTGTCTGTCCAATTGAAAGGGCCGCGCGCACTTCTTCGACGCCGAGGAGGTTCTGAACGGGCTAGAACGAAGCAGCAAGAATCGAACGTCCGCGCCGCAAGGTTGTCTATCTACTTTACTTTAGCGCATTCTTAGGCACTCCCAATCACCAATGACTGGCCGTCAAATGGCATCATGAGGGATTGCCATGCCGCGCCGCCGAAGCAGTTCCTCAGAAATCTGCAGGGTTTTGTTTTGGCGGGCGCCGGTGAACGTCGTCGCCGGGGCAACGACACACACAGGCAGGTGGGGGATGAATCGGCTCGGGT